AAAAAAAACCCTAAAGTTAATAGAAATGATATTTTGTCTATAGAGGCAAAAAACTAGCCTAAAGGAAAATATCAGTTTTTAAGACCATGTCTAACAAAGTTACCTTTCATCTTTTAGCCAAATTTCATCCATCTTTTCTTGCCACTTCTCTGGTGGTGTTTCCAACCAGGCATTGAAATATCTAACAATTCCTGGGTGTTCAAGCTTGGCTAAAGCTTTAACTTCTCGCATGACCTTCTCCCGAGCCAATTCCCTGAATTAGAGAAAAAAAGACAACACTGAAGGTTGTTTGCATATGACAAAGTAATTATATTCAATAGTGAAAACACAGAAATAGAACAATTCTCCCTTGAATCCAAAAATAGAAATAGATGAGTTGAGTTAACAGCACTGGTATAATTCTAAGAAGCCACATATAAGTCCTTTATTTAAAAAAAAAAAGTTTTGGATTTTTTTTCTTCCAGAAATAAATGTGACAAGCACATCTATTAGCTCATTCAGATAAAGCTTTGGGCTGACTAAAAATAAATCACTACCGACTTAATAGAAGAATAAATAGGTAGAAGTGAGTGAGGTATTCAGAAAAAAGAGGTTAGTAACCCAAGGTCAGGAGGATGGAGAACAACCACCACAAAACCATACATATTCCAATCCAAAAAGCATGCACTATTATGTTTGTTCATGTGTTTGTTTACAGCAAGTCTCAACTATTGAATATCAAAGGCAGTGAAGTTTAACTTGAAAAATATCAATTTTACCTTCTGCTTTCATAGCTTTTCTAATGAATCTAATTTGAAATTTCTAGGGATCTAACCATTACCTTAAACAACATAAATACAAATTATATCCTCTTTCCTTCCCTAGAAGAAAGTCAGTTATTGTGACTTCTTCCTCGATGATTTGCTGTTTTTAATGTTTCCTACTATCCCAATCTAAGAATCTCAGTACATTTTTCAATTCTCTTAACTTTTAGGTTCCCACATTCATTTACTAAATCCTATCATTCCTCATTTTCAATTTCTTACATTCATTTCTTTCTCATCTGTCCTATTGCTGTTGCAATGTTATATATTTTAAAATTAAACTTCTGCAAAAAAAAAAAAAAAAAAACCTCCTAACCAATATTCCTGCCTGATTTCATCCTCATATAAGCCATCTATGCCACCATCACCACCAGAACCACCTTCCACTCTGATCGTGGCACTCTTCTGCTCAAAGACCCAACTTCCTATGGACTAAAATCCAAACCCTTTTGCTTAGCATTTAAGGTGCTGCAACCTTCCATATTCCCTCAGTTTCACCTTTGCTCTACCCATTCCTGAATACTCACCATTCTTGACACTATCTCAGACTGTTTGCCTAGAGCCTCTCTGTGTGTGCCATTTCTTGCACTTGGCCATCCCTCTCTTACACATCAGTCTGTTGAGGGATAGGCTACTCTTGAACACTCTGCACAAATGTCATCACCTTCATAAAGCCTTTCAGCTACATCTGCTCTTTCTTCATGAGAAGCTATTTACTGAGATAAGGCATGGGTTACAATCTTTCTTGCACTGTAATTTAAGCATATGTACAAAAGTTCCAAATAGTTATAGGCTTCTGGAAGGCAGAAATCTTGCTTAAGTTTTGTATTCCATGTGATGCCTTTTAAGTCATTTGGCTGCTAACCAGAAGGGCAGTGGTTCAAACCCACCAGTTGCTCCACAGGAGGAAAATGAGGCAATCTACTTATGTAAAGATTTACAGCCTTAGAAACCCAATGGGGGTCACGATGAATTGGAATTGACTCAATAGCAGTGGGTTTTTTTTTGTTTGTTTGTTTATGTAGTGCCTTACACATACGAATATTGAAAATTACTCAAAGGTTATATATCAAAAGATAAGAATTAGTTCCATAATACCTAAACCATCAAGAGGGATTCCTGTCCCTATCTGTAGTCAAAACATTGAGTTAGCAGTTGGAAGCACAGCACAGCAATTAGTACACATTTAATCAAGAATCCATAAAGGCCTTCTACATAGATGGAAGGAAGGTAATTCTGAAAGCCCTTTATCTTAAGCATCACACTGCTTTGAGCCAGCAATTCCATTTCTAGAAATCTATCCTAAGGGAACAACAGATATCAAAAAATTTATATAAAAGATGAACACTAAAAAGTTTTTAAATTGCAATACATTACAAAGCAATGCTTAACAATTATAAATAGTTACACAAAATACAGCGTATTTATTAGTTGGACTATTACCTAGCCATAAAATACTTTAAACTATATTTTAACATGAAAAATGCTGAGAATACTATGAAGGAAGCAACAGACAAAACTGTACAGTACTGATAACTATGCTACAAATTACATACATTTATTTCCAGAAAAAAGAAAAAGAAAGGAAATATTCTAACATGTTAATAGTAGTTATTACTGGGAAGAGAGAATATAAATGGTTTTTGTTTTAATACTTTTCCTTATTTTCTCCAACAAATATAGATTATTTTAAAATGGTGCTATTTATTAAAATCTATAGGTATTATAAAAGGAGCCCTCGTGGCCCAGTGGTTAAAGCACTCAGCTGCTAATCAAAGGTCACTGATTCGAACCCACCAGTTGCTCTGCAGGAGAAAGATGTAGTACTCTGTTTCCGTAAAGATTTAAAGCCTTGGAAAACTTATGGGGCAGTTCTACTCTATCCTATGGGTCACTATGAGTCAGAATCAACTAAGTGTCAATGGTTTTCTATTACACATCATTATGAAAAACTCTTGAGTTGTTAAGGATCGAAAACAAAGGAAGATAAAAAGACAACTCAATTCAAAATGTACAAAGGACTTGAAGAGACATTTCTCCAAAGAAGATATACAAATGGCCAATGAGCATATCATTAAGGAAATGCAAACCAAAACCTCAATGCGATATCACTTCATATCCATTAGCATAGTTATTATCAGAAAAACATAAAATAAGTGTTTGTAAGGATGTAGAAAAGTAGAACCCTCTTCCACTGCTTATGGGAATGTAAAATAGTACAGTCACTACGGCAAACAGTTTGACAGTTTCTCAAAAAGAAATTATCCAGCAATCTGATTCCTAGGTATATACCCAAAAGAAGAGAAAGCAGAAATGCAAACAGGTATTGAATTCAAATGTTCATTGCAGTATTATTCACAACAGCAAAAAAGTAGAAACAACATAAATGTCCATTCACAGATGAATAGATAAACAAAGTGTGATATGCACATATATAAAATGGGATACTATTCAGCCATAAAGAGAAAGGAAGTTTTGATAATCCTGTAACATAAGTGTACCTTGAAAACAGCCTGAGTGAAATAAGTCAGACAAAAAAGGACAGATACTGTATGATCCAACTTATATGAAATAACATGAATAAGCAAATGAACAGAAACACAATGCTTATCAGGGGCAGGTGGGAGGGGGAAAAAGGGAGTTACTGCTTAAGGGGTACTGAGTTTCTGTTATGGGTGATGAAAAATATTTGGAAATGGATAGTGATGATCATTATGCAACATGGTGAATGTTACTAATGTCACTGAATTGTACACTTAAAAATGGTTAAAATGGCAAATGTTTTTTAACATATGTCTTACCACAATAAAATTAAAACAAGGGCAGATTTTTTAAGTAGACGCAAACCAATCCAAATAGAGCACCTCTTCTGGTAGCACTTAAAACCTAAGAGTTTGAAGGTCAGAAATTGTGTTTGCTATAGTGTCTACAGGAGCTCTGGTAGCATAGTGCCTAAGGCACTTGACTGCTAACCAGAAGGTTGGCAGTTCAAACCC